GGCATGCATCCACGATTCCTTGATCTGAGGTGCCCTGGGCACAGAGCATGTCATCGAGGATTTGGCCAGCATAGGCAGAATTGCACTGCTGGTTGCTGAGGGCGAGAACCATGCCCTCTTGAATGATCGACGGTGAAGACCCCCCGCTCGCCAAAGTGCCCCAGCCGGTGATGAAGCACTCCTGACCCACCGGCACCTCGACGTCGGGCAGGCATGCCGTTGTTGCGCATCCCATCTCAACCTCTTCGGTCAATTCAATGAGAGCGAAGTCGTGGGTCATAGTGTTCGAGTTGTAGTCCGGATGCGATATGACTTGCTGGACTTGATAGGTTCGCTCGTGTTGATCCTGGTCGGAGTCCTTGTTGAAATCTCCCGTCACGACCACCATGCTGCCGCCTCCATCAACACAGTGAGCTGCTGACATCACCCACCTTGAGGAGATCAAAGTGCCTCCGCAGAAGTGGAAGCCACTGGCTGTGCGCAGGCTCACCTGCCAGCCCCACTCACATTCACTCGCATCCTGTCCATTCACGATCTTCGGTCCGTTGATGCCATTTCGAGTGAAGCGCAGAGGGGTACTGTCCGGCCCCTTTTGACCACAGGAACCTCGGGAGGAGCTGCCAGTCGCGTTTGCTGCAATCTGTGCAAGAGGCTCTCCGAGCTTGCCAGTGGAGGTGCCCCAGTAGATGACGTAGTGGGAGATTTGGCTCGGGTCCTCTGCTGGCTCGAGCACGATGGTCCCAGCCACCTGGCCAGCTACAGGATCGCGGTCCTGGAAGTACATTCCTGCAGCTGTCTGCGTGGGCAGGGATGCATCTTCCACCACAAGGGATGAGCCAGTCGTGCTCTCACCGTCCTGGTCGTATCCTTTGACGAGGAGGTGCGAGGCCTCGGCGGGGATGGTGAGGTTGTCGATCTGCACTGCACAGGAACCAGCCTGAGCCACACACTCGCCGACAAGGATGCTGTCCAGAGATCCGTGTCGCAACACAGTTGTTGGCACGGTAATGCTCGAGAACCGGGTGTCGGGGCCGCTGTAGGACAGGATGATACCATGCGAGCTTTCCAAGTCGAAGAAGTCGACTCTTACTCTGTGCAGGCCTGGGTACAGGTAAGCATCCCCGCTCAAAGACTGCATGCCATGCAGCCCGTCGTTGTCCACGACAAGTACATCGTTTACGTACAACTTACTGCCATCATTCGAGTTCAGCGTGAAGATGTAGTTGCCACCAGAGCCAATGCTGATGTAACCGGTCCATCGCGCCGCAAAGGCGTCCGAGACAGCAACACCCGGGAATGCTTCGGAAGTTGACGGATGATACACCTGATCTTCCACTTGCACGAGATCTGGCACCATGGAGTCCAAGTCAGGAATAACCTCATAGCGGGCACCTGGTGTCAAGTAGAAGTACTCTGCCAGTAGCCCTGGGCTGCCTCCATCGATGGGATGCGTACTATTGCGACCCCAGTAGACCCGAAAGCCCGTCACCGTCGAAGCTGCCGTGATGGAGATGCTCCCTCCTAAGACCCCCATTCCCAGGTCCGTGTCTGTGAAGCTCACGCTCTCAATGGGGATGGTGTTGGGCGCCAGGTCCTGGATCTCCAAGGCGAGGGAGGCGCTGCTCTCTGTGAGGTTGTAGGCCGTCTTCACGATGAAGAAAGGCCCAAGAAGCTCCTGGGAAGCGATGGAAAAGGCGATGTCTTGCCGGCCCTCCGGCTTCGGGAGGCTGGCAATCAGCCCGGGCCGTCCAGTGGAGGTGCCCTGATAGGTGTAAGTGAAGCTCCAACCGTTGTTTGTGACGCTGAAATCTGAGTTCCAGGTAGCCACATGGATGCCTTCCGTCAGAGTGATGGTCGCGGTCGGCGTTGTGAAGCCGGAGTAGAAGGTGTCCAACAGCTCAAGCTTGTCACAGCAGCGCTCGGTGTGCAGGTAGGTGAAGCGAATCTCTGCTGGCCCTACCAGCGTGATGGCTGCATTCTCATGGTTGTCATAGACATCCCGGGACACGATCCATTCGGAACCACTGCTTCCTGCGGTTATGTCGATGTGGCTGCAGCTTGAACCACTACAAGTGGGGCGCGTGTCGGACAAGCCAGCCACACTGCGCGAGCTCACATTTAGGATGTCTGTTGCACTGGAGCCCCAATAGACATTGTAGAAGTTCACCTCTGCCTCTTCCACGGCACGCTTGATCACCAGAATTCCCTGTATTTGGCCGGGCTCAGGATTCACGTCAGTGAAATTCATTGACTGGGCCGTGCCGTTCGGACGGACCAGGTCCTCGATTGCAATCCCTATCCAGGAAGTGGAGTCGAAGCCATTCAAAGCCTGCGCATAGGCCAACAAGTGGGTCGCGCCAACCGGGACCCTGGTCCCTGCAGGGACAGCTGCTGTCACCTCCGAGCCTGTCTTGCCCAAAACGAGAAGTGGCGGCCGAAGGAGAGGCCCTTGCCGGGCAACTGCCCAAAGACTAGCATCCATATAAGCTGTGTCCGGTCCACTAACTTGGACTGACAAACCAGAAGAACCACGGCATTGGTAGTACTGGAGCTCTATCTCGTGGGGGCCTGCTGACATGTACGCGGTTCCAGTGCTGCTGGTCACGCCAGTGCTGCCACTTGTAGACATGACCTCTGCCCCGTGGATGAAAAGGCGTGCTCCATCATCGGACACCATAGACAACATGTATGTCCCCGGGACGACTACGGTCACTCTCCCCTGCCACCTTGCAGCAAAGAGTTCACTTCTGTTGAGACCAGGCCACACCGACAAAGAACCTGCGGGACGGGAGAAGGAGTACAAGTTCTCGGTCTCGCTTTGTTCCAGGAGAGGTGCGCCCAAAGAAGCAAAGTCCACGGTGCAGCTTGAGCATGGGCAGCTGGACAAAGCAAAGAACTGGGCATGCAAACCCGGCTCGGCCCCGTCCAGCTTGGCCGAGGCACTCTGGCCCCAATAGACTGCGTAGCCGGAGATCTGCGACTCATTCTCGGCAGGGCTCACTCTCACAGCGCCTTGGATAAAGCCTGCCATGGGGTTCTCGTCCTCGAAAGACAGGTTTGTTGCAACGACGTCGACTGTGCTGTAGTCGACCAGCGCAACGCCGGCACCGCTTGCCATGGTTGTATTCTCGTAGGCGCTGACCACCACAAGGTGTGTCATGCCTTGAGGTGCCGAGGTGGATGAGAGCTGCATTGTGCCGTAAGATCCGAGGATGGATGTCTTCTGGCAAAGTATGGACCCACCTGACGGGCTGGTTCCATTCATCCACTGCCCAAGCCCAATGTCGGAGCCGAAATACTCACAGCCTGATTGAGAGTTCACGAAGACATACATGGCAAACCCAGCACATGAGGGCAAGCTGTTGAGGCAGTAGTCCTCACAGGACTGCTGAAATGCCACAACTTCGGGCGAGGTCAGGTCATCCGCATTCGAGACGAAGGTCCATGTCGAACCCAAGGTTGTTATACCGTAATAGTACCCACCGATCGGCACGCACGTAAAGGACGGTGCCACGGAGACGCTGGCGAGGACACCCAGGTCCATGGAGGGCGATGTTGGACCTCTCGTACGACACTGCGCACAGGAGCACAGCGAAAGAACACAGAAGCGACAGAAGCAGCTCAACAGCCAAGGCAGCTAAGGTGCTGCTGCCCCAAAAGAGCAGGTAATGTGTAATGGAGTCTTCGTCTTCTCCACGCAAGAAGGTCACAGGACCAGCATACTGGCCAATGGCAGGATCAGAGTCTGCGAAGGTGACCTCACCAAGCGAGGGCTCTGGATTCGGGCGCTGGAGAGCCAGTAGACCCTGACCCTGACTTGTGGCTTCGGGCTTCAGGGGTGGCGGCTAGGTCCCAGACTGCTTCTGTGACCTAAAGCACGCATCCAAAGGTCTCACAAGAGCGCGCACCTCCCCTTGCCAGACCTCTGGAATATTAGACACCCGTAGGGAATCTATAGATCCCGCATGATAGTATCCCTTATAGAATACCTTATGATATCCCTTATAGTATCCTTCATCGTATCTCTTATGGGATCCCTGATTCAGGGGTTCTTGAAGGAGACGTGTCCAAGGCAGCTCAGGGGCATTCGAGGCCACAGCAGTCGGCAAGACCAAATCACTGAAGGGGGTCGCAATAAACCTCAAGAGCATTGGGGCTTTTGTGTTTAGGGTTTATAGGGCCTAGGGTTTAGGATTTTAGGATTTAGAGCTTAGGGTGTTTATGAAGGGGTTCTTGGGGCATACACTTTAATTAGGAGTTGAAAGACCTTCGGAGCGAGAGGGCTGCAGAACCCTAAACCCTAAACCCTAAACCCTAAACCCTAAACCCTAAACCCTAAACCCTAAACCGTTCAGGGGTTTGGACGTTGAGGACAGCATGTCTAGAGCTTCACGGGGGTAAACGGTAGACCATGCCTGGGCGGTTTAAGGTTTAGGGTTTAGGGTTTAGGGCTTTAGGGTTTAGGGACTTACTGTATGCTAAACCCCCCCAAAAAAGCCTTAAACCCTAAAACCTAAAGCGTAAACCCAAAAAAAACCTAGATGCTGAACCCCAAACTCGAAGTCCTAAATCCAATCAGGACTGATCTGATTGTAGTAACCCTTAGAATGTCCCTTATAGGAATCTGCCCTGAGAGTATCTGTTATGGAATCCCTCGCACTATCCCTGTACACCCTCAGCCCTAAACCCTAAACCCCTAAACCCTAAACCCTAAACCCTAATATACCTAAACCCCTAAACCCTAAACCTATAAACCCTAAACCGTGGTTTCCCTCACCGTCTCCCTTCAAGAAACCCTGGTAGGTTTGATCTGTGACTTGTAGTCTGGGCTGTCGCTAAAGGAAACTACAGGTGGGGAGTTCAGGGTCTATAGGGCTTCTATAAGGCTTCTATAGGTTTAGGGTTTAGGGTTTAGGGTTTAGGGTTTAGGGTTTAGGGTTTAGGGTTTAGGGTACAAAAACCTTATAGACCTTCTATCAGGCTCCTATAACGGTAACTATCCACCTGAAGATGTCCTGGGCTTTCGGTGCTTATCCCTGCAGGGCCGTCAAAGGTTCCTCGAGCATCCTTCACTAATATGCGAGGGTCTGATAATGTACTGTCATATATTAATACAACATAAGATAATGAACATACCACAAGCTAAGACTAGATAAGATAACAGCATAATCATATAATAGAAAAAGATAAGATCTAGTATCATATAGTTGTCACATTCTAGCCCACAATCGCCTCAGAGTGCCGAAAGCACCTGAAACGCTTCCTTCTTCCTCTCCCGTCTCGTGCCGCCCAGCCACTGCACGCTATCCTCAGGTCGCTGGGGTTTAGGGGTTGGGGTTTAGGCTTAGGGTTTTTTGTTTAGGGTTTAGGCAAGGGCAGGCCGCAAAGGATATGAGACTAGACCGCCAAACGGTCTACAAGTTAGGGCTTCGGGTGGGATAAGGGGAACATCGCAGATTATATGACAACACCCTCATAATCGAGTGCCCGATAGCAAGATGTCTATGAGCTGCTCTGCCATTTGTTGTTACTTAGTTGCCCAAATCACCAGGCGTCACGACTTCTCCTTGGTACACAAATTAGACGACAAAGTGTCAGCATGTGCAATGTGCTCCCGTGTTCCGATTAAAGGTAGCTAGTACGTCATGTATCTGTGATTCTATGGAAGGTTGTTTAACCCCGTCAGCATCACAATTGGCAACACACCAGCGTCTTCATCCCCGTCCACAAGGTGCAAAGACCCATCATCACAGTCAACATCGGCGAAAGCCTCTTCATCAACGTCAACAGGTCACACCGCCTGATCGTGTAGGACGATTCCTATTAGTAGTCATCTTAGTCCTGAAAAAAGTGGCGTCTGTATTGGCGAGTGCGGTGCGATGCAATCTCTCCTGTTGTTTATCGTGTGCACCTATGGAGATGAAGTTTCGGGAGGCTGAACGCGTAGGCGTAGATCATGACGTTACTTCATCATGATCGTGTGGCAGGTTCTCTTGCCAACGTTTCTATCTGGCTTCCTTGTGTTTTAAAGCGCCATAGTTCATACAGCCTCAGTTGTGCCTTCACTTCTGGCGCTTGCTGCATAATAACAGCTCGTGCCTGCGATCCTACACCTTAAAGCCTGAACCTTTATGAAGCCCTTCTCCTAATGCAGGGGTAGTGGGGGTAGATTATGGTCAACTACAGTAGTGTACTTTCATACGGAGTCTGCACAGGGATATGACCCTAAATCCTAAAACTGCTACTTCTTCCGACCCCTATTTAAAGGAAACTACAGGTGGGTCTATAGGGCTTCTATAAGGCTTCTATAAGGTATACAATCCTTCATAGGTAACTACCCACCCTAAACCCGACCCCTATTTTGAGACAAGGAGCTCCGGTGCTCGAGGCGCCGAAGGCCAGAAGGTGGGTGGCGTTCTCGCGCACCGGGGTGCTCGCCAAGTCCACTGTCAAGGGATCGCCTGTTATGGAGGCTGAGAATTTAGGGTTTAGGGTTAGATGCGTTCCGGGTTTTTGCTGCTAACATTAGATAGGGCCTTAGAGAACCTGCCGGAATCATACTCACTCAGTACTGCTTGTCTAAAAATAGTCTCCATTGTAGTTCTTTGTTTGGGACTACCTTACAGGAGCCTAAAAAGATAATTTGCTTAAAAAAAGAGGAACTACAATGGAGAGTACACGTGTAACTCTAATATGGGGCCTTAATTTCCTGAACAATTACCGAAACTACTTTGGGGGCTCCTTATCATAATCATAGTCGAAGATAAGTGGGGGTGTCCGAAAATAAGGGGTACCTTGTTGTAAGGTCCTTACAATAAGGATCCTACTATTGAGGTACTATATTAGGGTCCCCCTATTTTCGGAAACCCCCGAGTAGAATATAGGTACATTACCAGGAGCCTTTTGAGCTCCCGGAGCAGATAGAAAAGACATATAGCACAGTATAACATATCCTGGCATAACATGCCACAACACAACATAGATAATGTTCTGTAGTTTGTCAAACAGCAGCAAAGTACAGCGTAGCATAACATCACATCGTAATAGGGCAGCCTTATATGACAGTACTGACATTACACGCATGATACTACTACATTGAGTTGCATGACGTTACGTTGCACATTACATTATATTACACTGCACTACACTACATACACTCAGAAGCTCTCTGTGTGTGTATATATATATATATCTATGTTTAGTTATTTATATGTATACACGCATGCACATGCATTGAAACGTCTCGTGTAGCCCTTGTGGCGGTATCTAGCAAAAGATGATGTCACCGTATCCTACAGCAGAGACATTCCTGATTTATGTATTAAAGCTTGTGCCATATCGCAACAACTCGCGCGCGCCTTGTGCAGATACACTCACGTAAGCAATCCAGTCGGTCTCGTTCACTCCATGAGAGAGCCTGTGCTGCGGGGGCTCTAGGATCTTTACAGGCATGGATCAAGACAAATAGACCCTAAACCCTAAACCCTAAACCCTAATTAAGCCCTAAGCCCTAAATCCTAAACCCTAAATCCTAAAACCCTAAACTTGAGAGACTTGGGGTCTTCGGAGTTCACGGCTTGGTGTATGGGGGTTCTCGAGCTCCGAGGTCCTTCGCTGCCTTAACTCTACGTTATGCTATATGGGTAGTTCTCTAAAATAGGGTTTAGGGTTTAGGGTTTAGGGTTTAGCGTTTAGGGTTTAGTAGTTCGGTCCCTTTTTAGGTCCCGAATATAGTACGGCACCCTTATGATAATGACCCTAAAAAGGACCCTCATTTAGAAAACTACCCATATACATAACGAACGTCGTCTTCGCGGCTTCTCAACGTGTCAACAGGGCCCACTAAAGCCTGGGACTCTTAAACTTTGCGCCAACGGCTTCGAAGACACACTGGCTTGGGACAGCGCAGTGGCAAAACAGACGAGAATTGTATGGCGCTGATCGGCAATGAACGATGGTGAACAAGTTGCGCAAGATTCGACAGTGGCGCTGATAGTGGTGTCAATGTGACAGTGATAATAATGCTGATGGCGATGATTAAATCTGACGATGATGATGGTGGTGATGATGATGAGGCTGACGATTGTGACGAGGATGTTGTTGTCGCTGCGTGGCCAAAGCTACTTCCGAGTTCTTAGCAGCCCTGTTTTAGCCCTCAAAATCCCTGAGCTATGAATCTATCGCCCGTGCCATTGTTTTCAGCACGTGAACATTCCTGAAACCACCTCCCATACCACAAACGGCAATCGCACGCGAACCATGTATTTTGTTGATTGACGATTTAATCGGGCTTGGGATCTAGGATTTCAGACGATTCATACCCAAAGGGTCCTAGGTACTGTTATGGGGGATACTTTCCCAAATCATAATAACAATTCCTAATATAGAAACCCTACATTCTACTATACAGGTACTTTGGACCCTTTGGGATAGAGCTCAGTGTTCAGGGTTTCGGGTCAACGGGTCTGCAGTCTTGAGGGCCGTCGCTCGAGAGCTGGCCGAATCTAGGGCCTAAGTTGGACTTTGCAACCCTGAGCTGGAAACCCTACAGCCTAAAACTGTAACCCTCCTCAAGCCCTCACACCCAGCCTTAAGGAACTCGAAACCCTAAACCCTAAACCTTTTAAACCCTAAACCCTAAACCCTAAACCTTTTAAACCCTAAACCCTAAACCTTTTAAACCCCAAACCTTTTAAACCATAAGGCAAAGCAACTTGTCTGCCGGCACCGGCATCCACATATCGCTTGAGTCGGTCCCCCAGTAACTCAGCACCATCGTGCCCTCCGGGGCCGCTGCGGCCTGAGCATAGGATTTAGGGTTTAGGGTTTAGGGTTTAGGATTTAGGGTTTAGGGTTTAGGGTTTAGGGTTTAGGCTTTAGGATTTAGGGTTTAGGGTTTAGGGTTTAGGGAGTTTCCGGAAGCGTCTGTAGGATGAAAGCTTCTCACTTCTTGACTAGTTGGAGTGAGATGGGGGATTCAAGAGCGGATTCCTCATGTACCCCCCGATGCCATATGAAGTAGACGATCACGTGTACTCAGTTCCCAATGTTTCGTGATACTCTTAAGCTAAGTAAAGTTTAAGTAGAGTCATTTGGGAGTTTCCGAAAGTAAGGGGTACCTTATTTTGGGGTCCTTATAAGAGGGATCCTACTATTTAGGGTACTATATTAGGGTCCCCTATTTTCTGAAACCCCCATTTACAAGCCCCAATCACCCTACCTGTGCGAAGAAGTAGTCGACCTGGAGCGAGTGTGCTCCTTGCTCAAGGAACACGCTGGTTCCCTGGCTCCACGACGCGTTGGTCTTGAAGACATCCTGAGCTGTTCTTCCGGGGTCGAGGTGTGTTTAGGGTTTTGAGTTCTCCAAGCTTTGGACATTCCCAAACCCAAGACCCCTCAGGCTTTTGAGAGAGCTTCTTGACGCAAAACCGCAAAGCTGCCGGGGTACTGAGATAGCTGCTGAAGGTTGCTACTGGTAGGGTGTTGTATCCGTGCATCCCTGGTTCAGAACCCTGTTGTGCATGTGCAGGGGTGCTACGATACAGAGTCTCGCAGCAAGCCGGTGTGGCAGCGAAGGTACTGAGCCGCCGGCATCATCGATCAGCACGTCTCCATGCAAGTAGACCTCCCAAAGCATCCTACAAAGCCCAAAACATCTAAACTTTAAGAGCTTCCACCCAAAACCCTAAACCCTAAACCCTAAACCCTAAACCCTAACCCCTAAACCCTATTCCACCCAAAACCCTGAACCCCGGAGCCCCAAAGCCTGAAATTACGAACTCTGGTCTTCCCAAATCGCCTTGCAGCCATCCGAAAAAGTCTGGAAGTAGTAGGTCCCGGCAGTCGCGATGTGGAGGAAGCCCGTCCATCGTATAGCGAAGCCCGTGTTGAAAGCTTCCGGCGACCCAAAGTCTTGCCTCAAAAGGGCTGAAAATCAGAGGTTTCGGAGGGTTTAGTATGATGGTGCGGGTTTACGGATTCGGGTTGCGGGTTTCAGAATTACTATTAGGAACTCCCTTAAGAACCCAAAACCCACTTTTTTGTAGGTTCGTATTATAAACCCTAATATGGGATTTATAGGGACCCTACAAAAAAGTAGGTTTTGGGTTCTTAAGGTCGAATTGAAGGTTTAGGGTTCCGGACTTCAGAGTAGGGTTCTTTAACTCGGATCCCTCTGTTGAGTCATGTTGAGTCCTACTTGTCAAACTATCTGGGTAGTTGTCTAAATTAGGGTCCCTTTTGGGGTCCTTTTGATCAGGGTGACGTACTATATTGGGGACCTAAAAAGGGACCCTAATTTAGAGAACTACCCATTTAGGGGTCCTGAGATAAATTGGGACCCCGACGTAAGGTACCCGAAACACCCCGCGCATTAGTACCTTGTCATGCCCCGTGGTACTGGGCTATATCGAAGCTTATGATCCATTTGTGCAGGCAACGAAACCTAAATAATCTCCTGAAATCCCTGTACCCTGAACCTCAACTCTTAACCCCGAGCCCCAGACCCTAACATCCTGAACACTGAAGCCCCGGTATAGAACCCCTAAAGAGCCCCAAAACGCCTTACTTTCTATGAAGCTGCCTAAACCCTAAACCCTAAACCCTATAAACCCTAAACCCGAAACACTAAACCCTATAAATCCTAAACCCT